TAACTTTCTCCCGTCACAGTCAGTATTTAAGAGAGCTACAGAACGCTTCACTGACCTCGACTGCAGAAGGTAACAAGCCTTTATTTCTGACTTCCTGTTTGATAAGTAGAATTGGTCATATATTAGTTGGAAGCCTCGTTTGCCCTTTTAAAGTTACTGCACAACACTGTTAATAAAAAAACTGATCATGTCCTGTAAACTGTTTCAAATTAAAAGCACCTCTGGTGTTGTAGTGGACAGAGCAACAGTGGTGAAAATAGCACGTTAGTGTATCGTTGACCTTGTCGACTACATACCTTCAGTTATGCATTGGCCCTGCACATACAGCCAACAGTGCTGTATTCAGCATTTCAAGTTTTACCCTCGTCTAAAGCTACAAACCTCCGCTGTCATAGTTTCTACTTTCTGGATCTGAATATTCTGTAGGAAGCCTCATAAATAACTTTCAATCCTCCTCTGAAGGGACAGTAGAAGTGGTTTTAGTCTTAGTTTAACTTTTCACTAGACTCCAGGGAAGAATTCTTAGTGTCCTGTCGTCATTTTCTTTTTGCTGCTGAGCCTCCTGGGCCGTCGCCAGTCACAAGTTGCAGCTGCAGATGCTGTCGTTTTTTTTTTGTTTGTTTTTTTTACCCGACAACAGATCTTGGAGGATGACATCATGAGCCACACATGTTTCTATATGTGTGTCTTTCCAAAGAAATGTGTCCACTCTGTAATCCTGCCATGTGACCCCTTTTTAAACCAAGTTGTCTAAATAAACCCGGACGACGTGGACGTCTGCCTTGCAGTCAGGTTGACTTTGACCGAGTGGAGACAGCTGGAATTTCATTCACATTTTTCCACAGGAGTCCGTCCGTGAGTGCGAAGTGTCCAGCGGGGTCGATGTTGCGATCAGGTGACTGACTCTGCCGGTCAGAGACACTCCACCTCTTCACCCTGAAAAAGCTCTGTGGCTGCTTTGTTTATATATTTAGCACCTTGTCCCGCTGCGTGATGAAAGGTCGTTGTGATGCATTTGCTGCTGTAGACCTCTGCGTTCGTCCTGTGGCTTCAACAGTGAAATCATTAAGGAGGAGGAATGCACTGAACAAATGCTCTCACACACACACACACACACACACACACACACACACACACACACACACACACACACACTCATAGAAACACTAATACAAACACGGATGAATGGCAGATTTGATGACAGGTTGTTGCTCTGCTAGTAAAATGGATGGGTGAGCAGGTTAAAGACGAGGTAATGACCTTGTCCTTTATCTCTGTCCACTCATATGATTTACTCTGTCAAACACTCAATCTCTCTCGCAATCTCTATTCTCTTGTTGGTTTTTATCACCCCCCCCCCCCCCCCCCCTTTTTAATTGTGTCTTCATCCACCTGGCCACAGGTCATAAAGACAGGTGGGTGTGTAGTAGCAAGGTGTTTAAACTGTGGCCTATAGTTGATCATCATAAGGCAAACCACTTAACCCGAATCAGTGTGTTTTATTAAAGCGTTATATTTCACAAATTCATTAAATGGTTCAAATGGTGCGGCGCGGTGGTACAGTGGTTAGCATCACAGCTAAAAAAGGTTCTGGGTTTGAAGTCTGCGTGTTCTCCTCGTGTCTGCATGGGTTCCCCTCCGGCGTCCCTTCGCTCTCGAAACAGCCTCGGTTCCTTCACGTCATGGATTCCACAAGCTGCTGGAAACTTTCCTTCCGCATCGTTTCAGCCGATTGGATTCAGACCTGGCGCTTCGGTGTCACAGAGCATTATCCTGCTGGACGTGGCCATTTAGAAGATGGTGACGATAAAGTGACGCACGTGGTCGACACAAACATTTCCCTCAGCGTCGTCTTCACGTCCGTAAAAATATCTTTTCTTCTAGTTTGGATGAAGCGACTCTCTTTACTATTTGATGCTTTATTCTGGGATCTGAATGAATAATTCAGGTGTAAGACATTTATGAAACGTCAAACTGTGGGAGTTCTCGCCGGTTTCTCATCCACTGTATCCGTACACACACACACACACACACACACACACACACACACACACACACACACACACACACACACACACTGGTAATGATATTGAGGGCAGCAGCGTTGTGTCCTTCTCTGTATCCAGTGTATGAATAATAGATTGGATCCAGAAAGTACAAACTGGCTGACCAGCCCATCAGGTAGCAAGTCCCACCACATCCTGTACACAGCTCTCTCTCTCTCTCTCTCTCTCTCTCTCTCTCTCTCTCTCTCTCTCTCCATCTCCCAGTATTTCCATCTCTCTCTCTCTTCCTCGTGTGTTTCGTCTGTTTGCTTTCTCCTCACTCTTCCTCTCTGTCTCACTCTCCTTCTCTTTTCTTAATCTCTTTGTCTCTCTCTCTCTCTCTCTCTCTCCCTCTCATGTTCATCCCTCCCTCCCGCTCTCCTCTCTCTGCCTCCCTCTCCCCTCCCTTTGTTTCCATCAATTATAATCTATTGGAGAGCCGGCACAGAGAGCAACCACGCCGGGTATTTCATCGTCATCTTTAAAGGTGTACCGACCGAATACTGAGGCATCAGATTACAGAGGATGAAGAACTGAACTGGCAACAAAGGAGATCCACTCTTCTCTTATTCAGACAGTTTTTTTTCCTGGTGGAGTTTTAATTCATCCGTCCTCTGGATAATGCAGAGCTGAGGAACAGGAAACTGAAAGAAGGAAGCTCCAGAGCCTGAGCTATGGTTTTGTATGCGACCTCCTCCCAGGATTGCTCTGGGGGAGCGGGGTTTGTGGGGGGAGCTGGCGGCGGGGTGGTGGCTACCCTGAGGCCTGGCGGCGGGTCAGACGGGGCCCGGCGCGGACTGTGGTGCTACGTCTGCTGCCAGAGGAGGCCCACACTCACGCTGCCGTCATGTAGGTACACAGCACAGTGATGGGGACTGTGGGAAACGATCCCCCGTGGGATTTCGTGGTTGACGTCAGCTAGAAACTTTATCATCAGTTGTGGAAACGGGATTTGTATTTATCGTATTTATAGACACTCTTCTTTTTTAAGACCGTGACCTCATAACTGGTTATTATTTTCTCTTTCTGCTTTTCTCTGTGAATGCCAGACCTGCTCTCTCCTCCAGCTTTGTGCGCCTCCTGTCTTTGTCCTGTCTCTGTCTCTTCTTCTCTCCTTTCTTTCACAGCATTGTGTCAGACAGTGTTTGGGGTCACTGGACCAGCTCAGATCTCTTAAGACTTCCATTTGACTGAACGTCTGTTTTCGAGAAGGCACCTTCACAGTCAGTGGATGGAGTTTAGGAATTTTTAAGATTTTAAAATTGTTCCTTGTAGTGAAATTGGTGAATAATAGGATACAGTAATAAAAGTCTTGGTCTAAAAGGAAGATGAGGCTTAAACAAACGCCCAGCGCGCTGATCTGATCCTCCTGAGCAGCTTTTGGGGCCGCGGCCCTGCAAGGCTTGTGTCTGCGTTCTGTCATTAGCACATAAGCTCTATTAGAGCAGACAGTAACACGATTACACCCACCGGCAGCGGAAGATGAAGACGAGAGACCATGTCTGCAATTACACTCACAGATATTGACTGCCTGTAGACTCGGCTTAATTCAATAGCATTTCAGTTCAGCCCGTACAAGAAGGAAACTGTGGGCACAAATTAGGGCCGGTAGGATTTTGAACTTGTAAAAATAATTCCAAAGTTTGTGTGCATGTGTAGATAAGGCTTGTGTTTATGCTTTGAGAGAGAGAGAGAGAGAGAGAGAGAGTGACTGTGTGAATAAAATCTGTGAACATTTTTCATCAGTGGCGAGGTTAAACAGGGACACAGTGAGACAAGAAATAGCTTTGCCAACATCTGTGCACAGATGCAGAGCTGTAAAACTCAGCACTCAAAGTTCCCACACTGTGCGTGACGCAGAAGTACGAATTTTGACCCTGTGTCAAACTGTCCAATCAGACGTTGGTTCTGTTGACTGAAAGGTGGATGATGGTGCAGTTTTTCATACAGTAACGTACATAAAAAGTAAAACTGATCTAATATTTTTTTGATATCTTACTTTACTATTCACATAATTTTCTATTTTCTAATTTAAAAATATCATGTAAACACCTAAAAACATATTATTATACACAAACAGCTTTACAAGGCTTTTACCTGAATAATTCATGGTGTAAAATATATAAAGAAGCATGTGTCAATTTTTATTTTTGCTTAAAAAATTACATTTATGATTAATTGATTATTAATACCAACCAGTTGGAAATTAATTTTTCTGTCAACTAATCTTTTCACCTCAGTTAAACAAATTAAAACATGAGAATACAGTGTTGCCTGCATGTTAGCACATCATTAACTCGGCGTCCCTCTTCACATCGAGTACTTTAGACCCCCCCACCCCCCTACACCCCCCCACACCCCCCCACCAGAGTTATACACAAGATACACAACGACTAAAAGAAACATGAACACAAAGAGAATGAACACTCAGCGTTTACATGAATATAAATGCTAATGCAGGAGGAGGCTGGGGAGGTGGAGGCAGTTCATTTTGCAGTGTAGCTGTCCAGGCGTGTGTGTGCGTGTGTGTGTGTGTGTGTGTGTGTGTGTGTGTGTGTGTGTGTGTGTGAGAAACATGGGACTACACAGCAGCTTCTCTGGCTGAACTACCAACATGTGTCGAAGCCGGGACTTTTTCTTGCCTTTCGGTTCCGCTACTTTTACTTAAGGAAAGGTTGCAAATAAATTCACAGCACCTGACAAGGTACTCTGTCGGTCTAGTGGTTACTTAGAGCTTTGTGCTGAAAGGTTCAGTTTCCACACCAGGTGATGTGTCCAACTATAACTGTCTTCACTCGGTCCAGCAGCAGTTACCTCTTTGAGGTTTAAAACGCAGCTCAGTATTGTGTCCATTATTTGTTTATGACACTAGAACACAGGGAGTTGTGTGTCAGTCCGAATGATGATGATGATGATGTCTAACAGGAGCTGTCTTGTGTGTGTCGCCCTCTACAGGCCCCACATTGCCCAGACAGGGCCCCCAAGTTCAGAATGGCCCCACACCAGAGGAGATGGACCTGCAGAGAAGGTAAGACCCACACGAACCTCAACAGTTTAGACGAAGGCTTCAACACTGTCTCTGCATTAAAATAGAAATCGTCTGTTTGTGTCCATTGTGTCTACCACCCCTGTCTCTCCCTTTAAATACATTTCTATTATTTTTCTCAATTATTAACATGTAAGTAATTATGTTTTTCACCACCTATCAGTCAGTGTCTTACACAGACACACATGCACTAAAGCGAGTGTATGAGTCGGACAAAACCGCACACTCAGAGTTGTTTTACTTCCCCATACAAGGCCAGTCTTTTCCTCAGGTAATAATGAGGTTCTGGAATAGCCAGAAAACACATCACACACTTACTCACACACAGATACTTGCACACACACACACACACACACACACACAGCTGTGTTAATGGAGGCCAGCTGTTGGCCAAGGTTTAGAACCTTTTCAACAGAAAAGCTTGTTCAAGGATTTAAAGCTACAGTATGTAATTTTCTTTTTCCAATATTTTTGATCTATCTAAAGTTTTAGTTGAAACATCCATGGAGAGATGCCGTCCAAGGCCTCAGTGACCCTGAGTCGTTGAACAGCCTGGAGCAGTACTGAGATATTGCCCTCTAGAGTTTTTGAGTGAGCCTCGTCCTGACCAATCAGAGTAGGCCAAAGTCAAGGAGGTGGGACCTAACGACTGTCAGTCAATACATGAACGCATTTCTGGTCTAGCTCTCCTCTCGCACTGAGGCGTCAAGCTAGTTTTATTGTACTGCTATCAGACATCACATGGCTAGTGCTAGCTTGATTTCCAGAACTTGCATATTGTAGCTTTAATTAGAACGGATTGCTTACACACACACACACTCATATGTAAACATAGGAGCATGGACAGACACTAAAGTAAAGTGTGTGTAATGTTGGTACACAGTGATAGCTTTACAGCCAGACAAAGGCACGGCACAGACATTTTATATTTACTCATCCCGATCCATGACCACACACAGAGATGTAAGCATCTAACTTTAGTGTTGGTTACACGAGCCAAATGGTGACGACTGATTTGGTAACCGGCTCAGATGAAGGGCGGCTGCTGCACGCCACGCTATCATGTCATGAAAGGCAGCTGGAGGGATAACTTAACATGGTAAACATACCTTTATAATCACCTACATTAGAATATTGATTATTCTAAAATACAACATGTTCATTCTGTTTGAGTTGGTCTCTCTCTGTCATATATACACAGTAGCATGCAGCGACTTTCAGAGAAAGGCAAGAGAAGCCAAAGAAGCAACTACACCTACTTTATTTGCTACTGCTACCTCTTGAAGGAACTATTTGTAAGTTTTGCTATTGCTACATAGCCAGCATTAGCATTGGCAGCTATTTACTTACCCGTCTTAACGAGAGCTTCAGACATCGTTGCGTTTATGATACAAGAGGTTATAATGCGTCCTTTGAGCAGCACTACTTCTTCAGGGCAGCCTGGACGCTACAGTGACTCGGTATCGGAAAGTGACGAGACGGGACAACAGTAACAGAGCTAGCTGGTTAGCATGCTAACTTCAGTAGAAGAAAAAAATTGATAGAAATAGAAGCCAAACAATGGAGTTGTTGATGCTGAACTGAACGTTTCTTCTACTTTGGTAAGTAAACAGCTATTAATGCTAATGTTGGCTATATGTAGCAATAGCAGAACTTACAAATAGCTAAATACGAACAAGGAAAACAGTAATTTTCTAATGCGCAAGTACAGATTCCATAATGTGTGCAATATCTGATCTCAGAGCAGTGGAGGCTGAGTCAAAGGCTACTTCACAAGCACATTTGCCTTCAGCTAGCTATAGCTAGTTACTCGTCAAAGATCTCAGGATTATCCACATTGCGCAAACGTCCAAAAATGTTGTGCCCCTCTCTGCTCGACAAGCTCCAGCCTTTGTCAACGGGACACGGCCACGCCAATAAAAATGACAGAAACTACAGATGCAACGGCTGTCAAGCTAGCTTCCAGAGACAAAAGCCTCCTGTGGCCACAAGAGGGCAGTAAATTACATGGTGGACGCAAACAGGCAATATCAGATCCTTTATGGGACAGAAAGCTGTTCTGAGATCAGATGTAAAGAGAGGTATCACCTCCACTTTGATGTTGTTCTAACTGATGTCTTATTTTTATTTTTAACCGCTCAATCACTGCTTGCCTTGATTGTCCTGACGGCAAACCACATCTCACCTCACATACGCACATACGTAGAGAAGCATTCTTCAGGTGTGAGTCAATGGTTTGTCTATTTCTGTTAGAGGTGAACTTGGGTCTGCCAGGAAATTTACAGGATGTGTAGATCTGAGAGCCTAATGGATCTGGCTGCCAGCCGTTTCTCCCTCCCCATTTTTTCACCATTTCTTTCTTCTTGAGATTTTTTTGTCCTCCCTCCCTCTTAGCTTTCTCACTTTCACCCTTTTGTTTCTGTCTGGCTTCATTTGCCTCTCTTTTCCATTCTTCATCCCTTCATCCCCCTCTCGGTTGCTCCATATTTAGCAGCGGATGACAGACAGGCAGCGAGTGGATCAGTGACTGAGGTCATCTGCTGATACAGAGGCCAATATCAGCCCCGCTGGGAGAGTGAATAGAGGATGTGTAGAGCAGAGTGAGAATCGGATGAGAGGAGGGAGAGAGAGAGGAGTGTAGTGTCGAAATGAATTGGCGACACACTCTCACATCAAGCCCTCTGCTGCTTGAAAAGGAAAGCTAACATACTGAAAGCTTTTGGAAGATGTTGAAGGTTTGCTGGGACATAAACACTCTCACGTTATTTTTGAGTGGCTGTGTCACATCTAATCAGTGCTCTGCTCTCAGTAATCCAGTCAGATTTGTTGATTGTTGATTGAAAGCTTACAGACTGAGAAAAGCATCTGGACTCTGGATTTATTTAATCCAACCTTTAAACCATTAATTTAAATCATGGATTTTAATTTGTAACATAATTTGTAACATATAAGACTTTGTAGCTTTGGCTGACCTTTAAGTTGTTCTATTAACCAGCTGACCAAAATCAACATGTTTGTTAATTGTAGGATAAATGGCACTAGTATCCTGGTTTAGATTATTATGTTCCTCGTGTTTGCATGGAGCAAGAAAACCCTGCTTATTCACCTTCCTCTGTACATGATTTAACAGTGTCCAGGTTTTCCTCAATAGCAGTCATACTGATGTCTAATGATGGGATACACTCCTTTACATATTCATAGAAGCACTTGATCCTCTCACAACCATTCGGGGCTGGCAGTCATGATATCTGTGCTGAGAACCTCTGCTGTGTGTTCAAAGCAGCATCATTCATCCTTAAAACACTTTCTCTCTTCAGAAGTCAAGCTAGTCTGTCCTGTATCTCAAGGCTAACTAGCTTAACTGTCATGAGGAGCGAACACCTCTGTCACTGCGTGCTATTTTGCTGGGGTTTCTAAGTCCAACTGGCTGACTGCTTTCACCACGCTACTCCTAATAACACGGTGCTGTTGCTTTGCTTACAAGCCAGCATAAACCTAGCAAGCTAACACTAAGCCTGGCAAATTAACAAGAAGCTTAGCAAGCTAACAATAAGCGTAGCAAGCTAGCAATAAGCCTAGCAATACACTTAGCAAGCTAACAATAAGCCTAGCAAGTTATAAACAAGCCTAACAAGCTAACAGTAAGCCTAGCAAGCTAACAATAAGCCTAGCAAGCTAAAGGTAAACACGTACTCCATCACAGCTAGCTTACTTGACAATTATATCTATCACTTCAGATAATTTCACTCTTTACTTTTGCCAGACTAACACACACACAGCTGTCAAGTCTTGAATGTGCTCAAACCACAGTTAATGACTCCAGTTAGTGCACCCTCTGTTCCCCGTTTACTGAGCCTCTGTTGTCGACGGCCCAGCCTCTTTGAGAGGGATCCACTTGTCACTGAAGAGCTGGGTTATACTGGAACAGAATTCATTTGGACGATGTGTTGTGCAACCACGTTAGGAAAGCAGAAAAATGCTTATACTGTATGTGTGTGTATAAACATATTGATTTACTGGAGAGCTGGATAGAGTTGTTGCATGCCGCGTTAATCTGGTTTCTTACTTGGATTACTCAGCATATTCCGGTTTCCTGAAACCAGGATAAAAGTTTCTTTAGGTTTCAGAAACAAGGATATGGTCTTCACATGCACCGACACGTAATCAAAATACTCAAAAAACATATTGTCACTTGGATAATAGTTTACATATAAACAAACTCATTGTCAAAGTATTGATTTGGTCAAATTACAGGCAGAATTTAATGATGCATTTCTTTATTTATTGATTCTTTCATCAATCTTATAGTAATGTAGTTTTTACAGTGTAAATCTTCATTTCTGACCCCAAACTACGGTACAAGATAATACAATTAAAAAGTTTTCGCAGACATTTCTAACCTGCCTACAACTACGATTTTGGACTCCATCAATCTATCAACATGCCAGCTAATGTTTTGGCTGTCTGACTTCATTCAGTTACAATGCTGTTCATCAGGAATGTGTGTCACACTCTGCCATGTAGCCTGAAATGGAGATGGAGGAAATTACGATTCGCATTTCCTTTTCTTACTCACTGTCTACTCTCCACCTCTTTATCCATCTACTTCCTCCTCCATCCCTTCCTCTGCGATCCCCCTTTTCATCGACACGTACTGTAGATGGATGGAGAAGAGTTAGAGCACCCCGGCCTTGCCGCTTCAAGGCTGATTGATGGAAATATCCTGTGCATGTTTGAGTGGATTCACACATGGCTGAGGGGAAAGACTGCCAATAAGCCACCTGTTCAGAAATGCTGGGTGCTACCCTCAGATTAAAAAGACATGAGCTGGAAATAATAGGCTGTGGTATATAAATAGTCGAGCGTTGCGTGGGAGAGAGGGAGTGTGTGTCGAGAGAGGGAGAGAGAGAGGGAGAGAGAGAGAGAGAGAGAGAGAGAGAGAAAATATCTTGCATCGTTTTGAATGAAAGTGAGGATGGAGA